TTGGCTCTCCACGTGGTCTCTACTGGTACCATGGGAGCGTGGGGTGGGGGTACATGTCCCATCATTGCCTCACAAGGATGGAAATCTAGGCTCCCATCAAACAAGATAATCTTTTAACCTCTCCTATAAACAAAGAAATACAAAAGCAAACAAGTAGATGCCATCTGAAACTAAATAGAATTGATGAAGTGTGGAGAAACGGGCATTTTCACACTGGTGAGAAAGTGGCAGTAGGAACGTATACTGGTAAAGCCTTTCTGGAGGGCAATCTGATAAATGTCTAGTAAATTTAACATGCATATCCCTGACCAAAAAATTCCACTTCTAGAAAATCTATCCTTCTGAAACATTCATAAACATGAAATACTCACACACGCAAATATATTTCATACACACACACATACACACACACACACACGCACACTGCAGCAATGAATCAAACACACAAAAAGAAGTTAGCAACAAATTATCCATCATTACAGAATAAGAGGGAAGGGGAATAGTTATAAAATGAAACAATATTATGTCATTAAAAAGGATGAAAGAAACCTGTATGTAATAACATGGAAAGATATTCACTGTAATTAAGTGAAAATAAAGAAGCTGCAAACTCGTATCCACAGTACAGTCTCATTTTTGTTCAAAATAAAACAGTGTACTGGACCATAGCAAACTACAGCTGGTTGGCTGCCTATCTTTGTAAATAAAGTTTTACTGGAACACAGCCATGCTTACTTATTGCAATGGAGGTCATATAACCCACAAAGCTGAAATATTTACTATTTAGCCTTTTACGAAAAAGTATCCTACCCCTCATATATGCCATATCAACTGACGTTCTCTCTGCTCTATTTTTACTTATCTATGTCATATATTCCTGTAATATCTGAACGCTTATAATAAACATAATGTTTTTATAATAATAAGTAAAAAAACATTTCAGAGAATTGGTTAAATACCATGTGGCCATTAAATAATGTAGGTATAAATTAACAGAAATATCTCCACCATATATTAAATTTTAAAACCCAGTTTACAAAATACCATGTGTAGATGGGTCTCATTTTTTAGTTTAAAAATGAGTTGTTATACACAGCTGGGCAGCATAGCACAGACAGCTATCATTTAAAATATCACAGTTATTTTGCTCAAGTAGAAGGAATTTTGGTTTTAAGAACTTCTCTTGCTCTAAAAGAATTGCTTCTTTATTGCTTCTATCAGTGTCTTTGAACTAAGCAGAATGAAAAAAGATATAATTTCTGTATCTATATCTGCCACAAGTAGATCTATCTCAGTTTATACCAATTCCTTCATGTCTAACCATCTAAATTTGATCCTCATTACTTCATAAAAACCATCATTAAGAGAGAGAAGAAAAAATAGATAGTGTCCAGGGCATTCCCAGATAAAGATGGTAAACTGAACAAAGGCATTTAACCTCCGCTGACTCTGAATACACCGCAAAAACAATAAAAGTGCTTTTTTCTCTTTTTCTTTTTTTTAAGCATAAATCCATGAAGCCAAAGGTAACAAGAGAGGCCACAAAAGCAACAAAACACCAGAAGCTGGAAAGCAGATGAATGTTTACTGGCTTGGTAGACCTGAAAAAGTTGGATCTTAAAAGAGAAGAAAAACCAAGAAATGATTCAGAACCTCACCCTCAAGGCCCAGGAATGGTTACATTGGATACCAATAAAAACGGATAAAGAAGCAACTAAAAACAGAAGGATTCAATGACATTTTATCTACAAAATAATAATACGATTCCTAAATTCTTTATACCACTCCGAAACTGGGCAACAGCTACTACCCCCCACCATTGCAGAAAAATCTCAGATTTTCTGAAGCCAGTATAGTAGTTTGAAAACCTGGGTACCACACTGAAAACTGGGGAAGAGAGTGAAAGTTTACATCGTAGTACTGAGGCTACCCCTCCTCCCATAGCCTTTTCCTTTCATTCAGATCCCAGGACACCTGGAGGCCTATATTCTCCAGCAAGAGATTGGAAGTCTTTCTCAAGGGAATTTGCCCAGCTCAAGAAGAAAAACCTAAATACACTGATATGTGGAATATCCCCCCAAAATAGACACTGATATTGTATAATAAAGAATTTGGCTGGCCTTTGTCCCGGGCCTGGGCATTTAGGATTTTCTGAATGATAAGAGTGCCTTTGTTATTCATGGTGGACCCAACGGGCGACACCTGATAGTTTATATTAATAAAGTGTCTCAGACCGGGCCCTTAGATAGTTTGTGATAATGAGATGATGCAGGATGGAAGCTAGTCTTGCCAAAAAGAGCAACCACGTGATTACAGAGTTAGGGCTTTTTGGTCAACATCAAATAGAAGGGCTGGAAACTGAGTTCAACCACGTGGCCAGTGATAGAGTCGATCACACCTACACAATGAAACCACAATAAAAACTCTGGACACCGATGCTCAGGTGAGCTTCCCTGGTTGCCAATACTCTAAATATTCTCACACACTGATGTGCCAGAAGGGTAGTATGTCCTGATTCTAGGAGAGAAGAGAGCAGAAATTTTACATTTAGAACCTTCTCAGACCTTGCCCTATGCGTCTCCCTCTTTGGCTGGTTCTGATTTTCTTCCTGCTATAATAAAACTGTAATTGTAAGTATTGTGCTTCAAGTGAGTTCTGTGAGCCAATAGTGAATTATGAAACATGGGGGGTAGTGGAAACTCTTAAATTTTTACCCAGCTGGTCAGAAGTAAGGGTGACCTGAGGATTCCCAAATTTATGACTTGTGTCTGAAGTAAGAGCAGTATGGTGGAGGATTATGCCTTAACTTGTGAAATTTGGTCTTACTCCAGGTAGCTGGCATCAGAAGTCATTACAAATAATAAGAATACTCCCAAGAAAATGTTCCAGCCAGATCATCCTGTAGTGCATACCACTCAACAACTAAACACTTCCTACGAAGCTTTTAGTGTCTCACTCTTTTAAAAAGCCTCAAAAGGCTAAGGATCACCAGACATATTTGGAAAAAATGGAAGAAGACTTCAGAAAAGCTATCATTGATAACCTTAGAGAAAAACAAAAAAGAACTCACAGAAGTTAAAAATACAAGAGACAAAATAAAAAACTTTATAAAGAGGTAAAAAATAAGGCTGAAGAAATATCTCAAAAAAATAAAGCAAAATGACAAAAAGATGGAAACTAGAAGAGTTAATAAAGGAAAACAGTTCAGAGGGCCTAAATGCGGAATAACAGATTTCAAAAAAGAATGAAAACAATGGGGAGAAAGAAATCAAATATATAATTTAGAAAAAATATTCCAGAATTAAAGAATATAAGTTTTTCAGGATTTAAAGTACCCACTGAGGTCCAGCTCATGTACTCTATACACAGACCTAACAGCATTGAGAAGTTTCAGAACGGTATGGGACAAAAATTTCATAAGCTTCCAAAAAAATAAGTCACATATAAAGGATGAATTAAAACAGCATTAGACTCTCAATAAGAACACTGGAAGCTAAAGAAGGGGAAAGAAAAAAGAACAAAGCCTTCAAAATCCAAGGGAAAACTATTTCTAAACTAGGATTCTATACCTAAACTTTCAATTAAGCATAAGTGTGCTGGTGAGGGGTGCTGAGGGAGAGAACTTTTCAGACACACAAGGACTCAAAACTTTGACCTCCCTTGTATATTTCTAAAAACTACCAGAGGATCTGTTCCCCTAAAATGAAGGAGTAACCAATAAAGAAGAAACCACAGGATTCTAGAAAACAGGAGATCCGACACGAGAGAGAGAGGGGAAAAGGGAATCCCCAGGATGATGGTGGAGTGAGATCCTAGAACAATTCACCACCGCAAGCCTAGGGAAGAAACAGCCCAGATCAAAGCAGATCAGAAGGCTTGAGAAAGATTTCTTCAAGATAAAGAAAATTACCAAATAACTAATATGTCTGAATATACTGAGAGGAGATTTAAACAACTTTGGGGGAACTGGTGTGGAAAACTAGGTAAAGAAACAAATCGATGCTTATTAATTCTAGAGGGCAAAATAAAGTTGTACAAAAAAGGAAAAGTAATCATAATGTACTATATGGCTCAGTAATGGAAACCATTAACACAGTAATAATACTGCAAACATGAACACTGTTTTAATCAAAATTATCATGGGAAAATGGCAGGACCAGAAGTTCATGTGTGTGTGAAAGCAGCATGGAGCTGGAAAGCAGGATGCAATTTTGGGTAATAAAGAAAGCTGAACCCTCATCTTACATAATGAGACGTTAACAGATTACACCTATAACTGAAAAATCAAGAAGTAACTCATAGAGCATGTTATTTAGAGGTATAAAGGTAATCACTAAGTAAATCAGATTAAATAATTTAAAATGAGAAATGGGAAAAGTGAGGACTATTGGGGGTTGGAAGAACTTTTTATTATAAGAATCGTAACAAATTTCAGTTCTTTAAATACAAATAACTTTAAAAAAACCATTGTGTTCAACAACAGAACACAAAAAAACACATGTTTTCTCTCTTCTCTCTTGTTTAAGTCTTAAAAGCAAGAGAGAACATGTCATGCATACAGAACTTAAAACAGAGCAGGAACCGGGGATGTGAAAGGGCGAATGGCAATAAACAACACTGGAGACAGAGGTAGGAATTAAGAGATGTTACATAATTGTGGTCTATATTGGGATAATTGGGAAAATGTAAACATGAACAAAGTATGATAATAGTATTCTAATTATGTAGAAAAAGGTCATTTTTTAGATATACATATGGAAATATCTAGCAGTAAAATATCATAATTTCTATAATTTAAATATTCTCCAAAAATTAGACAAAACAAATATTGCAAAATGATAATAACCATTACATCTAGTTGATGAGTATATGAATATTTATCATATTATTTCCACTTTTCAATACATCGAGGCAGGAAGTAATGTGTTGAAGTTCCATGACTATCTTTAAATGGGGATAGGTCGAAGAGGAAAACTAGAAATATTCTACAGTTATCTTACCGTATCCTGCCATCGAAGCGCCACTCTCGACATCCATTGTGTTCTTATTTTCCTCTGCTAAAGCTTTAACGTATCTTTTGCTTAAATCTAGTATTTGTTCACGTAACTTGACACTGCTTTGATGTCTTGGTTGTTGAAAAGTATAGTGGAGTAACATCAACCCCCAAATGAGTCCAAATATAAGCAATAGTAAACTCAATTTCTGGGACATACTTTTTCTTGAGATTGTAAAAATCATTTCGGATGAAGCAAACAGACTCGGCTGAAAACTGATAACTAGAGTCAAGCCACCAAACAATCCTTTTGAAAGAAAAAAGAAAAAATTTCCTCCTTCTCCTTTAATATTGTATATTCTTCATCTTCAGCAAAGTTGCCTCCCACCTCCAGTTAACTCTGTAAAACTGAGAAGAAAAAAGGTGATTAGTCATAACCTATATCAGTAACAGAATAGACAATGACAGATTTAAGAAGAAATTCTTTAAATAGTTCTGATTTGGAACTATATCATCTTCTTTGCCAACTTTCTCCACCACTAAGCAAGCTTCCAGGTCCTCCATCCATCTCATTTACAAAGATCTTCAAAAATTCAAATTAGAAATAAATGACAATTCAAAATATCTGAAAAAAAATGCCACCAGTCACAAAATTCTTTAAATGACTCCTTGTCGTTTGTAACTAAAACTCTGGATACAAGATTTATAGGAAATCTCCATCTATTCAAATACAGGTCACCAGCCCAAATATCTAAAAACTACTCCTCCCACTCAAAAAAGATAGATGCCACAATGAAAGTCAGATATAAGGAAAGGTGAAACAGATTACAAAACCAAATGCCTCTCTGAAAAAAAAAAATCCTACAATATAAATAATGTGTCAATATTTAAAAATATCACTAGAAAATATTACTAATGGCAAAAAGATAATCTTAAGAAGCAGCCAATCTAAGGTGAAAAATAACATAATTTCCAAGTCTATACATCTACGTTTATACCAGACATAATGACAAGTGTTAAAACTTGTTAATAATCTTTTTTATATTTCCAAATTCACAATTCTAAACTTTAAATGATGCAGGTATATATTTTTATGATTTAAGGGAAAATGAAAAAGTTATACTTCAATTTTTTTAAAAAAGAGAAAGGTGATGACAATCACAGAATCTAGAAAGACATGAAAAGTAATAAAGTCTGTGAATCACCAAAGTGTCCCGTGAAGAAAACTCAAAGTGTGGGAAAAGGCTGAAGAGGGTAAAGGGGGTCAAATATATGGTGACAGAAGGAAACTAGATTTAGGTGATAAGCACATAACACAATATACAGATGATGTATTACAGAATTGTACACTTGAAACCTATACAATGTTATTAGCCAATGTTATCCCCAATAAGTTTAATTTAAAAAACTCTAACGAAATAAAATTCTTTACGTTAGAAATACACCTAGAGTCAAAAAGTGCATTTCACAGTTTAATAAAAATAATCCTTAAGAACTTTTAACTTCCTGTACTATGGGCAAATAAAACGTACCAATTTTAATCCACTTAATAGGGTATAATCACATAATGAAATACAATACAAAGATAAGACTAGAAATAAATATAGTATTAATTAAAGTAAACTCTGCAGAGCATTCGATCAATTTCAACAAACATTTACTGAGCCAGCATATATGGTAGGCACCAGGGAAGCTATGATTCTGCCCTAGAAATTTGTTTTATAGCACAGGTGCTCTCAAAACTTTTTTAAATCTTATATAAAATATCAAAATACAAAACGCAGACAATCAAAGATTCTCTAGTAGATGTGTGTGTGCATGTAAAGTGGAGGATCTTCTGCCCTGCCAATTCACCTGTCCCATTCCTTTCTCCCACATTGCCACCCAATCCCTGATACACTTCTAATAAATTCTGGGACGCATTAAACCAGATGGATTTAAATTGATATTTTTAGAGCATTTAGCCCCAACGCAGCAGAATATACATTCTTTTTAAGTGCACATGGAACGTTTTCCAAAATAGACCACATTAGGCCACAAAACAAGTCTCAATAAATTTAAGAAAACTGAAATCCTATCAAGCATCTTCTCCAACTATACACAATGGGATAAAGACAGTATATTCAGTAAACGGGGTTGGGAAAACTGGACAGATATATGCAAAAACTAGACCACTGTCTTATACCGTATATAAGAATAAACTCAAAATGGATTAAAGACTTAAATGTAAGACCTCAAACCACAAAACTCCTGGGAGAAAACATAGGCAGTAAACTCTCTGACATTGCTCTTAGTAATACGTTTTTCTGATATAATTCTTCAAGCAAGGGACACAAAAGAAAAAATAAACAAATGGAAATACATCAAACTAAAAAGTTTTTGCACAGGAAAGAAAACCATCGACTAAACGAAAAGACAATCTCCTGAATGGGAGAAGATATTCGTCAATGATACATCCAATTAGGGGTTAATATTCAAAATTTATAAAGAAGTCATACAACTTAACACCAAAAAAAATAAACAACCCAATTTAAAAATGGGCAGAGGACTTGAACAGACATTTCTCTAAAAATATACATATGGCCAAGAGACATGAAAAGATGCTCAATATCACTAATCATCAGAAAAATGCATAAAATCACAATGAGATATCACACTTCACAATTGTTAGAATGGCTATCATCAATAAATCAATGCGTTGGCAAGGATGTCGAGAAAAGGGAACCCTCATGCACTGTTGGTGGGATTGCAAATTGGTATACCAACCCTCATGCACTGTTGGTGGGATTGCAAACTGGTATACTAACTATGGAAAACAGTACGGAGTTTCCTCAAAAATTAAAAATAGAACTACCTTAAGACCCAGCAATTCCACTTTTGGGTATTTAACCAAAGAAATTCAAAACACTAATTCGAAAATATATACAAACTTCTATGTTCACTGCAGCATTATTTACAATAGCCAAGATATGGAGGCAACCTAAGTGCCCATCAATGGACCATCGGATAAATATGATGTGGTACGTATATACAATAGAATATTACTTGGCCATAAAAAAAGAATAAAATCTTAACCATTTACAACAACATGGATGGACCTAGAGAGTATTATGCTAAGTGAAATAAGTCAAAGGCAAATACCTTATTTCACTTACATGTAGAATCTAAAAATCAAAATAAATAAACATACAAAACAGAAACAGACTCATAGATACAGAGAACTAACTGATGGTTGCCAGACAGGAGGGGGTTTGAGGGACTGGGTGAAAAAAGTGAGGGGATTAAGAAGAAAAAATGGGTAGTTATAAAACAGTCACAAGGATGCAAAGTACTATAGAGAATATAGTCAATAATATTGTAATAACTATGTATGATGCCAGGTGGGTATGAGAGTTATCAGGGGGAATCACTTTGTAAATTACATAAATGTCTAACTACTATTCTATACCAGTATAAAATAATATTGAATGTCAAATGTATTTGAAAAATTTTTTAAAGAAAAAAAGGAAAACAAACTTCAAATTCATCATAAGTAATGTTACCAAAATAAAGGGGTTTGTTTTGCCTGTGCTCATAAAAGCCAAACAAGATACCAGCAAGGGTTTGCAGCAAAGAAAGTAAAAGTTTATTTAAGGAAATGGCGCCATGCTGAAGACACAGGTGCACTAGCACTCAAAGACCTGCCTCCTCGATGGCCTCTAGGGCAGGGGCCCCCAACCCCTGGGCCATGGACTGATACTAGTTTGCAGCCTGTTAGAAACCAGGCCACACAGCAGGAGGTGAGCGGCAGGAGAGCAAGCGAAGCTTCATCTGTATTTGCAGCCGCTCCCCAGTGCTAGCATCACCACCTCAGCTCATCAGGCATTAGATTCTCATAGGAGCACTGGTCCTTAGTTCCAAAAAGGTTGGGGACCACTGCTCTAGGGCACAGGTTATACAGGGGAAAACTCATTAGTCACGGTTGCTAAGGGAGTTGGGGTCGTGGACTCTACTGATTGGTCAGGCCTAGGGTAGGAGGCAGCTGAACACTGCATCAGGTCCTGATGTCAGTCATAGCGCCGGTCCATCTGGTTTCGAGCAGATGCCAGTGGGGTCGTTCTGCCTTCATGAGTCTGGAGCTGAAATACAACTGAGGTCAAAACGTTATCTTTAGTTTGACAGAAATTTTTTCTGTGGTCAATAGACCTAAGGCTGTTGATGCTAACCTAAGGGCTTACCGATTAAGTAAGTGTTTGTATAGCATGTGCAAAGGTGGAAAGATAAGGAAAGAAGCAAGTGAGTCATGGTGCTATTAGACTACACAAGGCCGATTTGAATGAAGGCAAAAGGAAAGTCATTTTTTAAAAAGTTTTGCCCTGTTACAGTAACAGCAGGGGAGTTTTTAAAAGCAAAAATAAAACCATCATCACCTTCATCATTATTATTATGTGGACCTAAGATAGGTTATGGAATATTTTTAGGATTCCCAGGGGAAAGGTCTCACTCAACTGCAGAAATTATAAAAGGTATTACAGTCTATATGGCCCAAAGGTAGAAGTAAGGCATGGAGACACAATTAAATTGAAGAATCTGTAGAGTACTAGACCTGAAGGAGGGCAACAGACTGTAGTCCAAGTACCACTATCTCCAACTGGATCCCTGCAGCTGCTTCTCAAGTGGTTTCCCAATTCCTCTTCAACCCCATTTCAAGCCATTGTCCTCACTACAGCCAAAATGTTCTTTCAAAAACAAAAGTCATGATTCGAATAGTCACATTTTGAACATTTCTCCAAAGGAGAGATGCAAATGGCCAATAAGCACATGAAGACATGCTCTAATCACTGATCATTAGGGAAATACAAATTAAAACCACAATGAAATACCACTTAACATCTGTTAGAATGCCTATGAAGGGCATCAGAGTATGCCACAGCAAAATTTCCCACTTTCATATAAGGATTTTGACCTGAGGATAACTGAGAAACAGTAGATGCAAGGACTCCCTGCCCGCCTTCCTACCTTAAAGCAAGACATGAATTTCCCATGAGAAAGTGGAGTTAATGTTAAGTCAAATCTGTACAAACACATCTTACTAAAACAACCCTTATTTTCCATTGGTTTCCCCCATATATTTACCTTCCCACAATTTACTGCCCCTAGGAGCTCAAACTCCTTTCCCTTTGCCTTGTCACATCTCCACAATTTATGGCTCTTTGTTTAAATTATATATAAACTCTGAGGCCTAACTGCTTCTTAAGAGTTTTCATTTCTGTGAGGCCCTTCATTTGTATATGAAACAAATCTTTTTTTCCTGTTAATGTCTTTTGTCAATTTAATTTACAGAGCACAGACACTGAACATAAGAAGGTAGAGGAAAAAGTATTTTTCTTACAGCTTGTGGGGTTCATTACGAGTTCCCCACAAGATGT